ATGTATATATAAATGTTTATGTATGTAATGTTTTATATACATATACATATAAATTGGAATACTTTACCGTATATTTATTACTTCTCATCTTTTCTGTATGAAAGAGTAGTTGATGTTGTTATCTATCTCACGGTCAGAACGAGACAGAATGTTGTTGATACTAAAAGCTGTCTGTACGCCAATTATGTTCTTATACTTAAACGAGGCTGACTGATTTCATTTCTTATTGGTTAACGGGCATCCGCGTTAAAGTATCTATTCGGACGCCGTTCGGAAGGCGATGATGGTTCCTCTTCAGCTCTGTCGGCCGGTGAGAACTGTGATGGGTTTCAGAAGAAGCTGCGACGGATTGTGCGCCAGCGGCCTCGACGGCTGCACGGTGCTGCAAACCGTGATCGGAGGCGAATGCGGATGCATCGGTTCCGGACTGCTTCCCGGCGACGTTGTGCTGGACGCGGTCTGGCTCAGAATCTGCGTCTGACCGAGATGATATCTGCTCGGACTGTACATCGTCGCCTGATGCTGCTGATGCGCCGCGATTGATCGCAACGTATTGTACAAGTGACAAGCTTCAAACGGATGTCCCGGAGACGAGATTCCAGGCGTCGCGATGGTCGTGGAATAGGCCGTGGGATTCTGCAGTAACCTTTCCATGGAGAATGCACCGTGGGTCGCAGGCGCTGCCGTCGCCGGCAGAGGTTGCGGTTTACAAGGCAGACTGGCGGCCGATGTGGACACCGCTCCCGGTAACAAACTCGCTGGATATCCAGAGGGAATGGTATAGGAACCGGTCGCCGGAGAATACGCGCGCGGATTCACATACGGCAGATTGTAGAAACCAGGCCACGACGAGTACGGAGGAAAATAAGCGGCGGCCGCGGCGCCGAACACCATTCCGCTCCTTTTATAGGCTGCTATTCGAGATCTGGAAGCCGCCGTTGTTCTTCGTCGTAATTTTCCGGTGGTACCTCCGATAAACACGTCGTCGGAACTCGGGTCGAGAGTCCAGTAGTTACCCTTACCGGGGTCGTCATAATGACGAGGAATTTTGACAAAACACTTATTCAACGAGAGATTGTGACGAATGGAATTTTGCCAACCTTGCTTATTGTTCTCGTAGTACGGGAAGTTACGCATTATGTATTCGTAAATTCCGTTTAACGTGAGCCGTTTATCGGGACTTTGTCTGATAGCCATCATAATGAGAGCGTTATAACTATATGGTGGTTTCTCAGCTTTTTTCTTGTCCTCCGATTGTTCTTTCGAGTCCTTATCGAGACTCGTCGAACTGCCGGACGTCGCGTTTGACGTAGAACAATCCAAAGGCGAACCCGTGACGTCAAGATCGCTGCAGTCGTCACTGTCGACCGATGGGGCAGCGGAAGCCTCAGTCAGAATGCTGCGAATGCTGAAATTGCTCTTCAGAGCAGTCCGTGGCGGCGGCGACGCTGTCACGGTATGCTGCTCTTCTTCCATGTTCACCATACTTTTCTTTACACAATTGGTTTTCCGAGATACTAGCCAAACCGGCTATCGTCAGCGTTCGTATCCTTTGCATTAAAATTTATTTAACAGCGTTCCTTTTTAATACAGTTCTTTTTTATTACTAGTTGCTAACATTTTATCTCTAACACACAAAAATATCCTTTCACTTTTTGTCAACATCCTTGTCTGTTTCGACGTTCTGCTTCCATTTTAATTTACACAACACATTTGTTACTGTTTTTGTTTTTTATTTTTTTATTTTTGTTTTGTTTTGGTTTTACTTTGCAGATATAGGTCTTGATCCCTTTGCGAGCGATCCCTTGCGACACAGAACGACACACTCCGGAGAAAGGCTCAGTATTATCTGACGGTGCCCCTCCGCCAAGACTGGTATTTATACCTATCGTTCAGCTACGCCCACCAGTAGCAGCACGTTGCGCCTCAAGGGGTTCGCTGACCAATCGACGCAGCTCGCGCCTGCGAGAGCACCAACAGTGCCGCTCGACCCCACCACGGTGTTTTGCGCCAATGTTTGACAGCAAACAATGCAAGCGGTGTGTGGAGCCACGACGAAGGCAGGGATTTTGAAGCTGGCAGCAAGCGGATCGGGAGCAAGCGCGTAGTGTGGTGGGGAGCGCAGCCGCAAGTAAACGTACAACCCTACGTGTACAAACAAATTCAATCCCTCTTGCCGCACCTCGCGTCTCTTCACGCTCACCTCCGTCGGATTGGCACGTTCGTGGCGCGCCTCGAGCGCAAGACCGACATGAGTTAGGAGGATGAGGGAGCAATTCTGCTGGATATTTTTTGTCACACAGCAAGGTCACAACGTAATGCTTGCCTATTATCTATTTAGTAATATGACAAAACTCGTCATTGACTTTAATGGTTCTTTTTATTATTACATTTATCTGAAAATATAGCGAGGAAACTTACATCTCACAAAATTTAAAACAAAATCAGCAATAACGATAAACAGACGGCAAGAAAGACATATTTTGACAAGTGTCTTTGAAATGACCGTACAGAGCCATTGTTATTCTCAAATATGTATACACATGGCGGAAATGTGGGAGAGAAATATAAAACGTTTCTTCATCAAAAAGTAAGAAAAAATTTTTTCTCATAGCTCACTGGACACACACATATGCAAAATAGACTAAAGAGACTAGTAAATGCTTAAATCAACATTCCCACGGAAATTGTTTTGAATGGACCTGTGTAAAATTAATTAAAAAAATAAGTAAAACCGTTTATTATATTAGGTAATCGAAACCGGAAATGTTACCAAAGAAGATTCAAAGGAAAAGGTTTTTTCTATTTTTCTTTTTTGAACACGAAGTTTACACACAAGATAAATATACACATTTTGAATTTACATATGAATCTTAAAATCCAAAAACTGTGATTTTTCATTTGTTCTGTGTTTTTTTTCTTATGTATAAAAATTCTTTTGTAATATTAATTTTTTCGACAAAAAAAAAAGAGAATAAGTATCATTTCGAATGAATAGACAAAAGAGATACCAAAAAAGGAACTAAAAGAGATCTATAAGAGATCTATAAAAAGATATTTTTCTCAAAAAAAAAAGCACGTGAATCATGTTATTTGTACATTTTCTACTCAGTACTTTTACCAAATATCCCGCAGCGACTTTCATTTGCATGTCTCCTTGTATTGTCGCGTTCGTTTTGTGTTTCGCAACTTCCTTTTTAAATAATACGCAAAGATTATCAAATCCAATATTTTTATTATGTTATTATACAATTACAACCCGCAATTACAACTTTTCGAAGAATTTAAAAAATCCGATCTCGTCTCGATTGTGCTTCTCTTTCGCCGAGATTTTCCCGAAATCCAAATCCACATTATCCGTCGTCAGGGACAATTCTTCTGTCTTCTTTTCACCAAATAGCGCAGCTATTATATCGGTCGTAACGTAATATGTTTTTCACATTAGACGCACACTGACCTTTTTTTTTCGGTCAGTGAGAAAAATGAGTACATTGCATATGTTACATTTGCAGTAACATTATTTGTGTAATTTTTTTCGCAATTATTTTAATTTTCTTTAGAAATTATAAACTAAATTCGAAATTGTAAAAAGACAATTTTGAAATTTATATATGTATATAAATTTTACATATGTATGTATATATATGTTGTAAACTTAAACATTTATTTATTTAGTGAAACGTGATATATTTCACCAATCGCACAAACTAGTAAGAAATTATAGACAAGTGCGACACGCAAACTTGTACAAACTAAGTATCGTAAAATAATCAAGGTTTTTTTTTAAAACTAGATACACAGGAGACACAGATTTTATATGCAATTTTTTACTTTCGAAAGCCACTTGTAATGGCACAATCTGTTTTCTGAATAACTACCACGATAAGCGATGTCACTTAACAACAATTTTGACATCTTTATCGCTATTATATATGTGCATATATGTACATATATGCAACAATATTGACAGCATTCTTTCACAACATGTCACTTCTGACGCATGACTTTCGAAGTTAATCCGCGGATCGGACGCACACGATTCGATCGTTCCGTAAAATTGTATTCCCGCGTTTCTGTGCAGCTCGAAAAACCTCTTCAAAGAAATCGAGACATTTTGTGTAAAAGCAAAGTGTCACGATTTCGGTGGATTGGATTCCGCGCGAAACCCTTCCAGTCTTTCTTTCCGCATCAACGAAAACGACCCGTTTTCGAAAATCTAGATCAGACGCCTAATCTCCCGCGGTCATAACTGAGGAAACCGCCGACGAAGATGATCTCCATGGCGGTAAACTGTCGGCATGAGTAAAAGGAAAGAAAGAAAATCTTTCCTATATCAACTTGGAGATTAGAACGAATGCTTGAAAACTTTGACCTCAAACTTTGAGGATTTTCAGAAGATCGCGCTCCTCTATCCTTTATAATCCGATTTGCCAATTTCAGCAAAAGACCGTAGACATCCTATTTGTATACGTGCGTATATTCAAAAAAATATTTAATTTTAAAAAAATATTTAGTATTTGACAAAAGTTTTAAGTTAAATATATTGTACAGACAACGGGATCACGTATACACATATTATAAAACAATTTTGAGAATTAATGAAGAGATTCGGTTCTAAAAGTTTAAAACTTAACAATAATTTGAACGGCCAGTGAGAGCCTTATAAATATATATATATATATATATATATATATATATATTCATTTTGCAACGAACAGCGTAAGGGTTTCGATGATTCAAATTACTTCAATTTTGGAAAGTTTAGAAATATTTTTCAAGTAAAAATAAACGTTATCCAGGATAATCAAAAATTGCTGAAGGTCAAAATGTTCCGCCGTACATATTATTTAGCACCAGTCAACAAAAGCTTTTTAGCCCCTTGCACAATGGAAGGAATAGCGATAGCGATAGAAATAACACAGTTTTAGACACAGAATTCCAACTCGTCGGAAATTTTATCGCTATTGCTTATTCTGATTTTCTGATCTGCATTGATACATGTGTATTTTTGTATGTTAGATTCCGCTGTTTCTACCGTTATTTATCATAAATATAAACTCTTTACAACTGGTAGTATTTCTATCGCTATTGCTATTCCGTCCGTTGTGCAAGGGGCTTTTGACACCACATTGTGTAATTTCTTGTAGGTTTTAGCTAGTTTTGTCGGTCTAATCTATACAAATGATGATGCTTTAAAAATAATAAAAATAAAGGTGAACAGGTTTCGGGTGGTCCTCGGAGTGAAAAGAAATGGGTTAACTTGGGGAATTCCGTAGGAATTAAGGATCATCTGTATACATCTTTTCAGAAAGAAAACAGCTTACATGACAATTAAAAAAAAAAAAAAAAAAAAAAAAAAAAAAATTNATCATCTGTATACATCTTTTCAGAAAGAAAACAGTTTACATGACAAAAAAAAAAAAAAAAAAAAAAAAAAAAAGAATAATTCTTTTTAATCTTGGGACTCTTCAATTCTCTATAACAATTCTTTTTCAGGACAATTTTTTATCCTTGTTCGAAATGGATTATTTTTAAGAACCGTTTACTAATTTTCTATATGAACGACAAAAAGAGGAATGTACACACGTTTTTTTCAATACGAATTCAAGTGGAGAATTCGTTTCTAGTTTACACACATTGAATATATTGTGCTAACAACTAACTTTGTTATTCTACACTATTACCAAGACACACGTATTATCACTAGCAACGAGCTCGAGGTCTGTGGGCCACCTAGACACTTAGCCCTGATAGAGACGATTGGCGAACAAAGCACTCAAAACGGGGATGACTCGTTGAGGCTATGAAACGATTGCTTTTAATGCAGCCGCCTTGACGAAAGAAAGACAATATTTGCACGCACAAAAGATGGATCATAGAATGTCGTCCGACTAACTGATTCAATTCGCTCAATGTCCGGCAACTTCTGCGTATCCCCGTTGTTTGTCACGTTCCTGAGATCTGATTCTAGCTGTGCAATATAAAGCGATAAGCTTCACAATTTTTTATCTCGTGTAATATAATATATCATAGTAGAATATAACAATGTAATTATTTATTTAATTCTTTTGTTAGTAATTTACATATTAGATTATAATATTATATATTATTAATATTACACTATTATTTTTGTATTAGGACATATAATATTATATATTATTAATATTACACTATTATTTTTATATTAGGACATATAATATTCATAGGATATGGATGTTTTTACGGTTGAATTAAAATTCCTGCATACAGTTTCCGGAACCTGCTATTAAAGTAAATAGCATAAATGTACCTTTAATGTTATTTTTATATGTTTTGTAGATATTTTAGTTTGTCTCGATCCGTCAAGGGTCGTACCAAAATTTACTGCCAGTGAAAATTTACTGAAAATGTATAACACACGTAACGTGAACTATGGATTTGTAGTACTGGCAGTGAATATCGGAACGCTGCCAAGATATATGTTTCTCTTACACGTGCATGAATATATAAAGATGTTAAAGAATGGTCTACAAAAAACAGTGTACGATAAAATTTATAGAAAACTGCACTTTTCTTTTTTTTTTCAAGGGAAACGTACATCTGTGTCAAAAATTATGATAGTAACATTTAGCTCGGAAGAAACGTAAAAACCATTTCAAGAAAGAACTAAAAGGTAGTCAACTATTTTCAGAAAGAGAAAATGCCATTTAGAGTTTTTTTTTCATCTATTGATTTAACGAACTTAATATAAGTACTGTTGACTTAAAACATTTCATGGAGACACATTTTGTTTTTTTGCTCCCATTTTCACGATATCGCAACAAAAGAATATTTCTTTGTGAAAACTAAAAATATGCA